TGACCTAAGATTTTCTGATGAAGAATGAATGTTGATTGTTGAATAATTATTAAACTTTGTTACTTTGAAGTTTGAACTTTAATTGAAGTATTGTGTATTGAACATTTGAACTATTGAAGATTCTTTTGAATCTTCAAGTATTACTTTCATAGTTTTATAATTTGGTTGGTTGGAATATTTTAAGTTATAATTAGATATGGATTATGGAGTATGAACCAACTTATAGATTATGGTTATGCTTATGGAATGAATGCTAGATACTAATATGTAGTATAATTTGAATATAACTGATAGTCTGATACTCAAATAACTGCAGAATCCTTATTTGGATTTAACTAGGCCGCCCAGGTTCTGGGCGCCCGCCTAGGCGCTGGGCGGCCTGGAGCCCCAATTCGCCTAGGACCCGCCTAACGCTTTTTGAAACACTGATTGCATCAGGCATAAAAATTAGCCACACCTTTTGTATGCCTTTGCGTCTTGATTTGGAATCACATGTTTTCAAGATGTTAACACTTTGGAATAACGTACTTTTATTATGATAAGCCATCACATTTTTTATGTTTTCTTTTCTTATGCTAAAGTTTTTCGATCATCTCTCTCCAGAAAACTTCCATGGTAAATTCAAAAGACAAAAAAAATTCGATGAAATTTGGCTAGTAACCTAGAAGGCTTTATGAAATGCATTGGAGGAGAAATTATGTTGGGGCATTGGAGGAGATTGAAGAGATAAATTAATTTAAAAAAGTTCTAAAAAAAAAAAACAATTCATGCACATTGATTTGGCGATTATCTGTGAGTGAACTCAAGTCTTTCAAATTTATCAGCAAACAATAGCAGCAAAAAAGAAAATATAACCCACTGATTTGGGATTTATTAACAAGAATAACAGCCCAAAAAAATAAACAGACTGATTTTGATTCATAAAGTAGAGAACCCAAATCCGCCATGTCATAGAAGTTACATATATTTCTAGATATCCAAGATTTATAAGCGACAAATGGACAACAAGAATGACAAACAAACACCAGTCAACAAAGATAAAAGCACTGAGATATGAAGTGTTTCTCTCTCTAACTTGATACTTTTTCTTTGAGTGACTAAAAGCAGGAGAAAACACAAAAAATAAACAGAAAAAAAATTGAAGCACATTCACAAAGGAATAAGCAATCATAGCAGAAATAAAAAAAACAGATTTTGGGAGAGAAAATCACCGAGAGACACACGCGAAAGATTTCCCCCAATTACCTGTCAAGACGCGTAATAGGTTTTTCACCCTTCACCGCGCGTAATGGGTTTCCTGATTTCTTGAGAAATCTCGGGTAATCTCTTTCCATTTCCTTACTATTAAAGTGTACCCAAACAATGGAAATGTCATATTTCCTTGTAATATATTGTCATGTAATAGATTTTCAGGTACCCAAACAGCCCCTAAAGGATGTATATTATAGTTTGGTTTTAGGGCTTATTTCTAGGGTTTTTTGTTTTTTAGGGTTGCAGATTTAAAAGAATAAGTCTTTGAGGCTGATTACTCTATGGATCTAATTTTGACGGGACCCACCTCTTCGACTCTTTTAAATCTTAAGTTTGGACGTGACCTTAGACAGAAGAAACTTTGATTAGTTCTATAGGTCTCAGAATCTTGTGTAAACACATGTGGTTTTTCATTCCTAATCCATGATAACATTTAATTATTGTGTATCCTGCTTCTTCCAATTTTTGTCATTTCTTAATAGCTTGGCTTTTGGTTGATATTACCTGTTGACACACTAGTAGCATCCAAATCAATGTGGATTCCACACTTTTCATTCATATCGACAGGAGATCTAGAAAAAGGGTGGGGGGTGGAGAATCGATATTCAAGTCATGAGCGGCACTTGGCTTATTAGAGTCAAGACAGTTGGGGACTGCACAACTTTTATGTGAGCTCCGCTCCCCTCCATTCATTCTTACTCTAAAATTAGCCCACATATAGTAGGACCGAAGCACTCTATTCGTGGCAAACTCAGACCTAGGTGGGTACCAGTCGAACCTAATTGTATTTCAAAAGTTTGCTGGTTAGGATCCCCGCCATACCTACCTTACCCTAGAAACTTAGGGCAAAGTTGTCAAGTATTTTTGTGTGGCTTGTAGTGAGTCATAGCCAGGAGATGTCTCTTTGTCGAGTCAACGTCCGTGGCGATTCTGACATTGAGTCGACCATATTATCCATGCTTGGGTTTGAAAACATATACATGAATTCGAGAGGCAATATATTTTAGTATGCGATGGACATGCCCCCAGGCTCATAGTCGATCAAACACATGTGTAAAGGGATCCATAGTTTGTCGGCCAGAACTACATGTTGCTAGCCCTAGAAGATCTCATAGGACGACCCATAGTTATGAAGTATTCGCTTCTAAGACCACCCTCAATAGCCAAGGGATTAGGCTAGCGGCGGTATTCCAAGAACTTGGAATCACTACCCAATCTAGTATACATTAAGGCAGGGAAAATGACGTCCACACCCTTTCCAATTACCCATCACACTACTAGGATTCACATGATCCTATATTCCTAGAAACCAAGAAATCCAGGGTAGGTAGGCATCGTTATTGGTCCGCAATTGAATGTCGTAGGGTAGGTAGGCATCATTATTGGTCGATTTCAAGAAAACCTTGATGTGCAAACTTTTTGAACTCTTTAGCAGATCAAGGCTATAGTATACAAGCCTCGGCCCATCAACCAGCCAGAGCAGATGCTAATAATTTAGGTTGACCACGACAACAAACTGGCCAGATTTCGAACTGGTCATCCCCTGTCATGCAGCCTAACTCGCAGCCTGTTAGGGAGCTTATAGGTCAGTTTACCCATAGAGCTGAACTTCATAAGGTCTTTCGAGACACTCGAACCCATAAACTACCGAGATAGTTTCTCTCCTGTCATATAGGCATTCCCATCAATGTATGCTTGCCAACTAGTTCGCTGGCGAGGTTACCATTCTACCAACAACCCACATGATAGCCCTCACAAATGCCCTAGCAAGAATGGGATTCCACGATGCCTTACCCTAAAGGATGATGTAAAGGACACCCTCAGCTCTTACGGGTTCATGTTCCCTGAGTTTCAAACCAAGTTCATTAGAAAAGGGAACCCCGATGCACATGTCACTGCCTACTTATTGACGGTCCCAGCCCTACAGAACAAGATGGTAACCTCTTCTTCAAATAATAAGAGTAACTACAACAACAAGAAAAGCAATGCCAGCAATCAAGCCAATGAGATTGTCTTCAATGACAATCTGTAAGAGATTGTTCGACAGTCCAAGCAAACTCTTTAGAATCGAAAGAATCAATATAGGGTGACAGGAGGAAACACTTCTAGGAGACCATGGCAAGATATGAACTTCACGCTAATCAAAGAACTGCCTAACCAAGTTCTCAACAAGTGCCTTTAGAAAAACCTACCCACATAGTTAGGCCCCACATGAAGCAAAAGATAAGTTAAAGTGGTGCAAATGGCATACGAATCACACACATGATATACAAGATTGCATACACTTTAGACGTGTCCTCCAAGGACTCATCGATAAGGGTGTTAAAGCCAAAAAAACTTGTGAATGAGTCCAACCAAACGATAGGAGTTTTCACCAATCCCCTCCATGACAACAAAGATACCACTGGCAACATTGAAGTAAAAGACAATCCGCAAGGGAGTGTGGTCATGCTCATGATTGATGATGACCAGCAAGAAGATGATCCGGCCCAATTCATAATCCCCGCCGCCAATAGTAAAATGACAAGAAGGTCAACTTGACTTGTTGGAGCTTCATAGGGGACCTCCTTTGGACAAAGCTATGGAACATCTACCAAAATGGGATGAATATAATTATGAACCATTAGATGTAAAGAAATCCATTGATTGGGACAATATAGCCCCTAAAGGAGCTTCATCATTGAACAACATGTGAACAGAGCCCACCATTCAAATTTTTATAATTTTTTTTTTATTTCATGAATACTATTCACAAAGAACTATTCACGAGTAGTATTCAAAGGGGTAAAATGTCATTACGAAATTTATACTTAAGTTAGGATTTTTTGGTCAAAAGTTAATTGTGGATAAATATTACCCAAAACAATAATTTTTCAACATAAATAAGGGTATGGATGGGCTGGAGAGTCGTTCATGTATTCTTTTTTAAAAAAAGGAAGACTGTCTTGTAAAATAAGCCCAAGGCTTGAGCCATACATGGGAGAAAGCCTTAGGGTTTCTCAAAAATTGCTTGTGTCAAGGTGCTTTTTGTTGATGTTTGTGTTTCTTCAAATTTCTCCTACATCACCGAGTCAATCCAGGTGACTAGGGCTTAGAACCCTACTGAGTCCGGATCCAAATCCAAGTTCTCAAATATTGCATGTGAGTAACACCTTAGAGGACTGTAATGCTACTAGAGGTCTTCCTTAGGCTTTCCTAATACCATGGAAAGGTGAGTAGCCTACCCCCCTCAACCTAGCCAAAGCATTCCTACATGGGCTGATGAATGCGAAAGCGCTACAAGGCTTTCCCCAGTGCATTGAAGGGAATTCTGCAGTGTATTAAAGGAATTCTGTGAATGGCATGAGATCGCCTCAGGAGGGTGACCTTGCCCCCTAACAACTTGAGTGCATTTGCACAAAACTCAATTATTTGAACTCAAATTTTAACCTGAAGAAAGTGGCTAATGTAAATAGCAAAGTGAACAAGGTGATAAATAGTTTAGTGAGCATGCATGTAAACAAGCAGGGTTTCGCGTTTCAGATTCTTGGCCACTGAGGTCACAGTGCTCCTGTTTCAAAACACTATTGTCTTTTTTCTTTCATTAAACATTATTACCACTATAAAAATAACGTCTTAGTTCTTCACGCATGCATTCACGTAAGCTCCTCCTAGGTTCAGCAAGTGCTCAGTTCAATATACAGCAGAGCACTGCATGCCTTGATACTGTTAAAACATATAAAATATAACTGAATGGGATGACAACTGACCATGTACATTTAGGCTCTTGATGCATCCAGACCCCTTTTACTATTCATCATAGTCCGCCATTTGTCCTTCAAATTTACCTATGTGAAGAGACAAACAGACACAAAATCAGCAAACATAATCTATAGAGCAAAAAAGAAACCAACCAGAGAAGTAAAGCTCTCGAAAGTACCTGTGTTCTACCATCAAATATTTCAGAATAACAATTTAAAATCAATTTCCAGTTTCCTTGACCATACCTTCACAGAGGTAAACAGAAGTATTAGACTTTTTATTAAAGGACAGCCCCGGAAAAATACAAGCACAGGCATCCTATTGAACCCAGTATGTCATCAAGTATCCTTACCATCCTAGAAAATGGCATTAATGAATAAAACAAAACAAAAAAACTACATATAACCATAAACTGGTACATCTGAGTATTTTCTTCATAATATTCAGCAACTGGGCGAGTCAAGTTGACTCAGGGAGTTTCTAAGGTTTGTAAGGGACTCAAAAGAGCTTCTCACCACCTCAGATCAGTCTCCTCAAAATAAGATTTGATTTGGAACTCTTAAAGTGTTTTTGGAGTGGAGGGGATTGACCTTTTTCATGCCCCTTATCCACTTCAAAAAGTGTTTTTGAAGATGGAGGAACGCATGGATCTTAAAACTTTTATATTTGCACACACACGCATTCATGCTTAAGGAGTAGGGAGAGCGAGAATAGTTCGACTCCATACTTATTCACTGCCTCTCTCAATGTTTCCTCTTCTAATAGAGTCCACTTCTTATTTTTTCTCTTCATCAATCTTTTACCAGCTTCGTCCATCCTCAAAGGGGAAACATGCCTGGTCCTTGGGCTGGGCAAATGGATTCCTTGTGAATGATTTGTGGATTCTTCAGAAAGGGATTCAATCGATCCATCATCCCACTGCCCAAGAAAATTTGATTCAGTAGGAATACCTCACTGACTAATCTAAAATATAAATGAAATCAGTTGAATAAATAAATAGTCCCACATGCACAAATGTATAGAAGTATGTAAACGGTTTGCAATCCATGAACGGAATGGCTGATTTGATTAGTAATGTCCATTTTACAGAAATGTATAGAAGCATGCAAGATAAACGGAATGGCTGATTTGTTTCCTTTATAGCTGAAACAAACTTAAAAAATAAAATTAAATAAAACAAAATTAAAAAAAAAAAAGAAGCATAAAAAACTCTTAAACTCTCCTGTCGACATTGTCACCTTTCACCTCTCTAGACATTCGGAAGAATACTAAAAGACATGGAAATCCACCAACAAGTAATGTGTGCACACACAAAAAAGTAGAATTAATACAAAGGATTGTGAAGCCATTAACTACCACGGCACTATGATAGCATACTCTGTACTAGAAACATCAGTTACTCATTATACTCTGTACTAGAAACATCAGTTACTCATTTCATACTTTACCTCAATTATAAGCACAAGGAAATTAAACAATTAAGTTCACCCAATTAAGTTCACTAGGGAGACTCCTGATTCCCAAACAGAAAATGATTCCTACAAACCAAAGGTATCCATTTAGATCATTAAAGCTTCTCAGCCCCATGGCAACCTGAAAACTCAGTTAACAGAAGCCCTTAGGGGAAGTGAAGCACATGTCCTGAGAACTACAAATAGAAAATGAGTATTCAAATAGGAGAAATAACTGAAGATGTCCAGCCAATCGTCCTATTCAAGAAGGAAACATGTTTTGAATGGTATACAAACCATGTAATCATAAAGACAATAATTTTAGAATTATCTCAAGAGAAGCATAGGCCTCATTCACAACTCTTACGTATAAACGGTAGCAAGAGAATTTCTGAAATCAGAACTACGCATGTCACAGTGTAATCAGCAGCACTTAATTTTTCTTCTTTGCATGTTAAAAGTCCTTTTCCTAATTCTTATCTCTCTTTTATCTAATAGGACCTATATGTCCTATTTCAGTTTGTATGAGCAGTATTTCCCTTTCATTATTTTGTTAATATAAAAGTGGCGTGAGAGGTGCATGAGACCCAATTCGGACTCTCACATCACTCTCCCTTCCTCTTCCTCATCTCTCTCTCCCTTCTCTAACACGATATCAAAGCAATGATTTTTTTCTGCCCTCTTGCTTCTTCTTTTCTATCCTAAAATATTTCTTCCCTAGTAATCATCTCCCTCTTGATTCTCTTCTCCATTCGAACAAAGTACATAAATAAACAAATAAATATTACTTGTCTTTTAATCCTCTCCCTCCTGATTTTCCTTTTTGTGTTGGTGGGCGGGGTCGGGGGGAGAGTTACTTCCTAGGGTTGTTCAATCTGAACCCTTGGGTTGTCTCCTGGTCTTCTTTTGTTTTTTTGGCACAGAAACCAATGTGGGCCTGCGTTTAATGTGGTTGTGGTGGTGTTCATGTTATTTATCTTTAAAGATCGAGACCAATAAAAGAATCATTACCTACTTTCAAGGTTCGCTGACAATCATAGATGATTCACCAAAAATTTCTCTCAAAAGCCCGAAGTTTTTCGTGTGGATAGGTGCTGCTCTAGTCTACTCAAAGAGTGGTAGCGTGGTGATGCTCAGATTTGGATAATGTGGTTTTGCCCTAGTTTGTGCAAGTGTAAGAAAGTGGCTATGCTCAGAACTAAAAGATAAGTACTTCTCTCCTTTTTTTTAATAAAAAATTGTTCCTAGCATTCTACTAGGCTTGGCGTGAATGATTATATTTGGTTGACCATTGACCCGCTTTATCTTTTACTACCGACACTCATGGCCAATGTTCAAGAAGGCAGATGCGGTTGCCTAGGCGGGCATCTAGATATCTGGGTGGCCCTAAGGGAAGGGGGTTGGGGCAGGGGCCATATGTTGTTTTTTGTGTGTTTTTTGTGAATGTATGTGTGTATGTGCATGTGCACGTATGTGTGTGCGTGAGGTCTCGCATGAAATTCTTAACGATCATCCTCTTTTTTCTTTTGGATATGTATTGCGAGAGAGAGGTCTCGAACACTTGGAGGATATGGAGGGAAAGAGAGAGTCTGTGCGACAGAGGGACCTCGCATCGAACACTTGGAGGTCATCTTCTTCTTTTTCTTCTTCTTACATATAAAGAGGGACCATATAGGTCCATGTGTATCTTTGTGTGTGTATGTGTGTGTGAGACAGAGGCCGCGCATCGGACACTTGAAGTCCATCTTCTTCTTCTTCTCATATGTAAAGGAGCACATGGATGAACCTGTGAGAGAGAAAGAGAGAGAAGGGCAATACCAAACCTTATTTTTATTTGGGTGGATTTGAATTCTTTTTTCTTTTTTTTTAAGGAATGGTACTGGGTGGGCGCCCACCTTGAGCCAACTTAGGCACCCGCCTTATGCATGCCCACCCAGAGCTCACCGCCTAGGCGGTTGTTGACTAGTACGCCTCAACGGCTGTCTAGGCAGCCGGGCAGCTGAATTTTTCTTCACTGCTCATGGCTTGTGAAAATTAAACCCGGGACTTTCCGTCTTCCAGAACATGTGGCGATACAAATTACTTCAACAAAATTAAATGAGTCCAATTATGTTATATGGGCTCAATTTGTTGAAGTATCCGTTGGTGCTAGGGGAAGTTTGAAACACTCAACTGAGCTTAAACCAAGTGACTCTAATAATAGATATAAAGATTGGATGAAAGAGAATTACATAAACATGACTTGGTTGTGTTGTATGAAGCCTCAAATAAGTGCAAATGTGATGTTTCCTGAAACCGCTAAAGGAATTTTGGGCGGCACTGAAAGAAACATATTCATCAGATAAGAAATCTAAGGTAAGTAAAATGTTGGAGGAAATATTTCAATTGCAACAAGGTAATAAGAACATGAATGAATATTATAGTGCTCTTAAAGGTACGTAAGAAGAGCTGAATTCGTATCAACCTATATCTAGTAATGTAGAATTGCAGAGCGTAAAGAATTCAAAGTTGCCAATTTTTTATCGAGTCTTAATCATGAGTACCTCATCCTGTTCGTGATCAGATTTTGGCAAGTGGTGAGCTGCCACCCCTTAATAATGTGTACGCACAAATTCAACGTCTCACCATATCTACCTCCCCTACACCGTCTAACACTACTATTAAGATGGATTGGCATTGAATACATTTGTGGGGAGAGGTGATGGAAGCAGATGTAGGGGATGTGGTTGTGACCCAGGAAGGGGCCGTGGTAGAGGTGATGGAGGCAGCAGTCGTGGAAATCTAAAATGTATGTATCGTGGGCATACAAATGATACAGTTGTTAAGTGTTGGGATAAGATTAGTAGGCCTGCTTGGGCAAATCAAGTTACCTAAACATATGAGGCAATGATGTTTATATGAATGGGCCTCGTAATCATCACCGACAGCCAAATTCTATTGGTGCCTCTATTTTACTTATAAGAGAATAATATAATAAACTTGTTAAACAAGTAAGCAGCCTAGTGACCATCCTTCTACTTCCAATGCCACCCCTGCTAACTCGAGTACCTTTGTGTTTCTTACATCTCAAAAACCTACTCCTTGGGTTATTGACTTAGGAGCTTCTGACCACATGTGGTGAGCCTTCTGTTTTTGTATCTCCATATCAGTGTTTCAAAACCTGTTGAGCGATGCCTAGGCAGTCAGGGGATCCAAGCTACCCAACACCTAGGCGAGAGCTCAGAACCTAGGCAGCCCAGTAGATCTAATGTCAAAATCTTCTAAAACACCCTCTAATAGACCTATAAAACCTCTAAAACTAAACCTAATCTCAATAGAAATCACAAAAATCTAGTTTTTTCAGGTTTTTCTCTCTAAAATGGGCTCTAATGGGGTTTAGGTTTGAAATGAACCTAAAACCCACCTTTTCCCCTCTTACTTTTCCAAAAGGACGCAAAAATGCCCCTCAAGAGGGGCAATCCTGCCCCTAGGCGAGGTGCAGGACCTAGGTGACCGCCTAAGCCCGGGCCCTCTAGACCACCTAGGCGCTTGGCGGTCCGCCGTTTGGAACAATGCTCCAGATAAGTATATTTCTAATTCCTTTGTTACTTTGGCTAATGGATCATTGTCTAGTGTGTCTGCACAAGGCACAATTATGCCTACTTCCCTTTCTTTGTCCTCTGTGTTAAATACTCCAAAGTTTTCTTTCAGTTTATTGTCTGAGAGCAAATTAACTAAAGATCTTCGCTGCTCAGAGCAAATTAACTAAAGATCTTCACTGCTCTATAACTTATTATACTCTTCTTGTGTATTTCAGGATCGAAGGACGAGGAAGACAATTGCAATGTGACTCAAGTGGCCTATACTATTTGAATGATAATTTGATTGGTGCTGCTCTTCATTATGTTGCTTTAGTTCTAGCAATGGCCCGAGCTGGGCAGGTCCTGGCCCTAGAACAAGCCTACTCCCTGTAGGGCCATCCAAAGCCCAGCCCGACCCTAACCAGCCCTAGACCTGGCCAAGCCGGGCCGGGCTAGAAAATATTTTCAAAAAATATAAGGAAAAGTAAAGAAAAATGAGGGGGCGAGTCGGGACAAACTAGGACAGCCCTGTCATGGCCCCAGCCCGGCCCAGGCCAAAGTTTTTTAGGGACAAGCCCATCGATTTGGGCCAAACCGACAGCCCATTGCCACCCTTATGTTGTTTCTCCCTTCTAAAGGCATTGTCGCGGTTGGGGCCATCCTTCTCTCAATAACTTGAAGTTGGTTAGTCCCTTCTTTGGAGTACGTGTCTACTTTAGAATATAAGGCTTGTCAGTTAAGCAAGCATCATAGGGTGTCATTTCGTCCTAGAACTGATAAACAAAGACTTGTTTTGTTTATAGTTGTTCATTCTGAAATGAAATATGAGGTCCTGCTAGAGAACAAAGTTTGTCTGTCCATAAATATTTTGTAACTTTCGTGGATGATCATTCATGAATGACATGGTTATATTTAATAAAAGAAAGATATGAGATTTTCTCTATTTTTAAATTGTTTCACCAGGAGATCCAAACTCAATTCAATAAGAATATGTCTGATAATGTTAATGAGTATCGTTCTAGAGAATTTCAAAATTGTTTTGATCAAAATGTGATTTTATATCAAGCTTCTTGTGTGCATACTCCTCAGCCGAATGGGACCGCTGAAAGAAAAAAAACATTTACTTGAAGTAACCTGCTCTTTGCTAATTAATATGCTTATTCCAAAAGTTTATCGAAAGATGCCTTGTTGACCTCATTCTATGTACTTAATCATATGCCCTCTTCACTTATGAATGGAAAAATACACTATGTTCTCTTCCCAGATACTCCATTATTTTTTTCCTCCATGAGTTTTCAGGTGTGTTTGCTTTTGTTCATGCATTAGGTACTAGTAATGATACGTTAGATCTTCGAGCTGTCAAGTGTATATTTCTAGGGTATTTACGCTTCAATAAAGGTATCAATGCTATCATCCTAGTTTATGAAATAATTTGATTGTGTTGATCTTACCTGTTTTTAAAATATTGCTTGTTTTTTTAAAGAGGGCCGCATGCTTGATGTGAATTTGTTTTATCCTGCTCCAGAAGAAGTCTCACAAGCCTCATCCTCTATAATTCCTCTTCCTATTCCTGTTGATACTTCTTCATCTCAGTTGCCTAGACCAGCTAAACCTATTACTTCTACACATCATAATGGTATCTACTTCTTGCTCGTGACTCACATTCTGTGTCTAGTGATGGTAATGCATCTATTGCCATACATAAAGGTATAAGGTCGTGTACTCAACATCCCACTGCTCGTTTTGTTACCTTTGCAAATTTGACCCAATCATTTCAAAGTTTTGCTTTAGCTCTTTCATCTATTTCTATCCCTAAATCTTCTCATAAAGCACTTTTTCCAGCTGGAAAAAGAACTATAGGGTGTCACTGGGTTTATGTAGTAAAATATCAGCCTGATAGCACCATTAATAGATTAAAAGCCAAGTTGGTTCCCAAACGATACACCCAAAACTTTGGCATTGATTACTCTGAAACTTTTGCCCCTGTTGCGAAACATATTTCAATTCAATTAGTTATATTTATTGCAGCAAACAAGGGCTGGCCACTGTGGGACCTTGATGCGAAAATGATTTCCTCCATGGTGATTTATTTGAGAAGGTGTTATATGGAGCACCCACCTGGGTTTGTTGCTCAGGGGGAGTTATACAAGATATGTAAGTTGAAGAAAGCTATTTATGGCCTAAAGCAGTCCACACATGCATAGTCTACGAAATTTAGTGAAATTGTTGTGGCATATGGATTTCGACACAATCATGTGAATCCTTTTGTGTTCATCTGGAAATGGGACTCCAAGATAATTGTCTTGGTTGCATATGTTGATGGTATCGACATTACAGGAAATGATCACAAAGGAATTAATAATTTGAAGAGCTTGAAATATATGTTCATTGGATTTGAGCCAGCTAAGGTACTTTCTAGGAATTGGAGTAGCCAGATCAAATCATGGAATTCACTTGTCACAAAAAGTATGTGACTAATTTGTTGATAGAGACTGAAATATTAGGGGCTAAACCAGTTGATACTCCTATGGATTCAAATACAATGTTATTAATTGATAAGAAGAGTTGTTTGATGATCCATGAAGGTACAGAAGATTGGTAAGCAAGCTAATTTATGTGACCACTACTAGGCCTGATATTGCTTTTACATAAGTGTAGTGGGTCGGTTTATGCACTCTCAGAGGATTCCCCACTAGCATGTTGTGCATGGAGTTTTGAAGTATCTAAAAAGGAGCTCCATGTAGAGGCCTAATTTACAAGTCAAACAATCATTGGACCATTGAGGGTTACCCAAATGCCAATTAGGCAAGTTCTCCATCTGACAAGCGGTATACTATAGGTTACTGTACATTTATTGGTGGAAATCTAATTACATGGAGAAGAAACAAAATGTTGAGGCTAGATCAAATGCAGAGGCTGAATTTAGAGCAATGGCACATACTACATGTGAATTGATGTAGCTAAGACACTGATGCAGGAGATGGGGTTTACTGTTGCGGAGCCTATCAAGATGTATTGAGATAGTAAAGTTGTAATTTTTATAGCCAGCAATCTGAAGTCATGAGGGAACCAAACATATCGAAGTAGATTGTCATTTTGTTCAAAAGAAAGTCACTAGTCAGCAAGGGTCCACTTCGTATGTGAAATCTAGGGATCAGTTGGTAGACATCTTCACCAAAGCTCTTGATCGTACTTCATTTCAAACAATTTATTCCAAGCTACGCATGGGTGACATTTATGCTTCAGCTTGAGGAGGAGTTCTAGAAGACATTTTTTTAATTCTTATTTCTTGTTTATTTTAAGTTAAAAGGAAATATAAGTCCTATCCAGTTTGTTAGGCAGTTTGCCCTTTCACTATTTTTTATTTACTCTCACGTCACTCTCCCTTCTTCATCCTCTTTCCTTTCATCTGCATCTCCCTTCTCTGAAAATTTGGTCTATACATCCTTCATTTCATTTATGCATCACATACTATTTCATTTTACTTTGTGACCATGGCAAGGTAAAAAGTCGTATGTAGTTGATTTAATGGATAGGGCCTTGCCCTCTCTGATATATGCTCAATAAGGGCTGGTGTACCATAGTTTCAGGATCCCCCTCCAAAATCTCGCTCCACAGCTCCAGGAAAAGCATCTCAGTTTTTTTAATTTTGGGGTCTTGATCCCCACTACTAGGAATCTCGATCCCCACCGTTAAGGATCTCCATCCCCACCTTAAGGGCCAAGATAACGACCAAACGGATGAATTTATTTATTTATAACCAACTAGTAATACAACTATAGTTCAAAATATAGTTGCATTTCTTACTAGCTATAAATAAAGAGATCCCTACTTTAAAGAGTATACATACTCCTAGACCATATATACAATTTTTAAGGTAGGTAGCAAGATCCCCAAAAGGTTGGGAACAAGATCCCTATCATTTGGGGATCTCGATCCCTAGAATATGTATTGCTCATATGGCACTCCCAATCATAGGATTTCTCTAGCCTTTCATTATCCCCTGATCCCAACAACAATGTGGTGTACCCTACATAGTCAAAACCACTAATATGGTCAATTATCAATGATTTTAAAGTTTATAACAGTCATAATACATTGTGACTGTTGGTAAATCGCCTTTTCCAAAGTTCAAAACAATCAACCGTGTTATATCCCTCTTTTTCAAAGCATAACCTGCCACATCAACTTTTTAAATAACATCCATTAAACCATTATATTCCAAAATTGCTACACATCATTTCGGGGCCCCAACAATCTAAACCTTTATACCATTAATCCATTATTTTGAACCTTGTTTGTAACATCACAAAAGAAAGTATAAAGTATCAAGATACATTATTCTTATGACACACATAGAACGCACTTGAATATAAAATGCACATCAAAGATTCTCCCATGGAACCATTCAAGTAGCTTAAACTTCTCAACCAAGAAATCATAGAATTCAAAGGAACAGGTAACAAAGGTTGATATCAGGCCAAAATTTTAATCAGAATTCCAAAATAGTTTGAGAAAGGCAGAAGGGAATTTTACTGTTCCGTTCCCCATAAATAAACAGAAAATAAGAAATATTACCACCAAGAAAAATTAAAATATGAATTTTTAAAAACAGATTTGAACATAAAATTTCACACCAAAAAAAAAGAAGTTTTGAGCATAATAAACTTTTCACAAGCAATTTCAGGTCTCAAGCCATTCAAAATCAGTTATGACCCTAATAATACAAAAGACCAACTACCTTTCACTTGCCAAAGGTTGCATTACATTCTTTTTGCTACTTCCAAATGAATCCACCATGAGAAGTTTCTAACAACAAACATTAAAATCCACAATAGTGACAATCATTTACCATACCAGTATTAACGAAGAAGCACAGCTATATTTGGTTACAAAAGACACAAGGGCATTCTGAAATTCTCAAGATACAAAGATTACAGATTATTTCACAACCTATGCATACAAAGGTGATGTAAGAGCTGTTCAAGGTTGAATAATTTAAGTCCAAAGTTAATTAATCCATGGTAGAGTCCGAGAACTAGTTACCCAGGAGAAAATTATAAACTTACAACAAACCTCAGTATGGTAGAAAAATTGTTAAAGCAAAAGCATCATCTTAAATTATGGTATGGCTTTCAAAAGACACAAAAGGAATTATTCCAGTTGTTTAGGTTTTGGACCAAGTTACTGCTTATGGATAATGGCTTACAGGCAGGGCACAATTGTCTTTTCTTCCTGTCATACAGTTGACAAAAAAAGGGGTGCCAACCCCTTTTTAAATATAATGCAACACACCACTTATTTGTGACATGCTGCAATGCGTCAGGCACGAGATTGTGCCTACCAAAATCACTGAGAATAGACTGCAAAGACCATATTGCACATTACATCCCAAAATCTATTCTGGAATATTTCTCAAACACAGCCTTAATGATAAAGCCAAAGTCAGATTGTAGTAAAATGATCATTCGGAATGGTGTCACTAGTCATGCTACATTACTGGTATAAATTTATTATGTTTTCCCGTGAAAAATATTAAAAAAAAACATCATAAGCTCAGCCCTTTTATAGCACAGTAAGGTTATAAAACCATGATATTCTGCAAAACAGAAGAAGTCACAGGTACAACACCTTCACATATGCTGCAACAGTATAACACATACTCAAAATATTTCCTTTCCTTAATAAAACGACTAAAGTTTCAGCAAGATTGAAAAGACAATATTACTAAATCCTCATATAAGCTCGTCATTGAAGCAGTATAAAATTGTTACCTCCTGCGCACAGGCAGTACTGTTCCACGCCATCAAGCTAGGCCTAGGTAAAGGCACCCTATGACTTTGACCCTGATCTTCAGTTCTGACTTCCTCCATGGATCTCGCTTCATTGCCTTTATCAGCAATAACAGACTGGTGCTCGCCTGCAACAATCTGGTCCTGAGTTTCTCCAGATCCCTCCTCAACAGTCTGATCTGTTTTCGATTCCATTGATAATTGTGCTGCTATTTCTAGTGCATTTGGTAGAGGATCTTCAACCACCGTTTGCAAATTTAGTGAACTTCTTTTAAGAGCTTCTTGTACTTTAGATACTTCAGGTGTCAAAAAACGATCATATTTGTTCCCCTCTATAAGATTGGTATGTGTCTTTGTATGCAAAAGTTTTGCTTTTCCTGACATTTGATTCCTTTGAGAATGCATAGAACTTTCCTTATCGCCTGTTTCAGCATTCAGAGGCAGCCGTTTCTCCACATCGATCTGGTTCAGAATATCTTCAGAACTCTCATCAGTTCGATCTATGGTCCATGTGGTGGATCTTTGTCCTAATTGTGCTGCCGTTTGTCGGGCATCTGGTAGCGGATCTTCAAACACTGTCTGCAAAATTTAAAGAACTCTTTTTAAGAGCTTCTTCTTCATTGGATGCTTCAGGAGTCAAGAGGCAATCGTGCTTGTTCACCTTTATATGAGTACTGTGCATAGTTGCATGGATACAATCTTCTTTTCCCAACACTCGATTCCTTCGCGACTCCACAACCACCATGCCTTCCATCAGATGTTCACCTAGAACGAATTCTTCCCTAGAAAAGGAACCTCTTTTGCGCATATCTGGGTAATTCACATCTAGGTACTTTAGAAAAGCATAGTCATTAAAGTTTTTCTGTTTTATATAAACTAGGAATGACATAAGGAAAAAGTCAGTGTTCATTCATAATGGATTAGTTATTTGAGCTGTCTGGGAAGGAAATGTAAATAGAAGAACAGAAGAGAACTACACAAACCCCCAATAAGCCAATGCAGCCTGAAGGGCTTTTAACCCACATTGGGAAGAAATGCACTACTCACTTTGTGTAATTCCTTTCTTTCAGAACATTGCTCTAATAAGTATCCCCACTAACCTAACTAGACGCTTTGACAATCTATCAAATTATGCAGTTTTCACGCTACACCTGCACCTACAATATTGTAATCTTGGCAAATAATGCATGTTTGGCATCTCTAGAGCTAGGCCCAAGAGCCAAAACTACCCTGGTCAATCCAGAAATAAACTTCAGTCCTCACGGAAAACTAACCGTGAAATATAGAATCTGGTTCTTGAAATTTATGCAAGATGCTTGCAAAGGCTCTCAATGGTAGCATACATGGACTAACAAATGTCACAAGATTTATAAAACGTTGCAAAATTTTCTCAAGATTTTAAGAAACAAAAAACCTCATGAGTTTAGTTAGTTGTGATATGTTTGCAGCATAATCTTGATAAACACAAAGACATTCCCTAAGTTTGAATTTTTACATTTTTATATTTTTAAAATCAATATTTTAGTTTACCTTGTACTTTTCGAAGAAAAAAGGAAATATTAACCATCCAAGAAATCATCATTCTGATACAATCCTAAGAACGATACATATCAAGGTCAACCAAACAATAGCATCAAGCCTACTCGAGGCTTGTCGTTTGAATTCTCCTAATCAAGGCCCAGGCAGTCCACCTGCTGCCTAGCACCTACACCCACATGACTACCTAGCACCATTTGAAAACCAAGGGAAGAAATAACTGAGGGTTTAGAGCATTTCAATCATTTCAAACCCATATAAAAGGGCAGAAGGTTGGTTAGTGTTCTTAACCAACAAAATCCCAACCCACCCCGCACTGCCCGCTCCCCACCCCTTCCCCCCCCCCCTCCCCCCCTCCCCTCCCCCCAACCCAACAATAAAACAAAAAAAAAAAAAACAACCCTTTCTCAAGTGATACATCAAAACGGAGACTCTAAACCAAATGGAAAAAGAAAAATTGCTTTTCAAAAGAGTGATTGAAACCAAAATTTTGAGTCCATACAGCACTACACAGTTTGTCACAAGAGCTTAGAAGAACAATCAAGGCAGGTTTAACCAATTGAGGTTTCCCAATCATCTATTAGCCTAAGTTATTAATCCCAAATCCATCCTCTTGGTAAATGTCATGATGCATGACAAAAGTATTTTTACTTTCAAATTTTGTTTAATTTCAAATGGTATACGTTCTAATTTTAATTTTAGGATTTATTTTTAGGGTTTTTAAGTTTTCTAAGCGAATATAGGGTTTTTTTATATATATATTTAGGCTTTTAGGGGTGGTTTGGAAGGTAGTTAGAGTGCTTATGGAATACCATTTTTATTAGGGGTAAAATATCATTATTAGAACTAGGATTTCTTGGATTCAAAGTCAAGTCCTTTATTATAAATAGGGGGTTCTGCCAGGGGTTTTTCATAGAGTCTAGTTTTTTATACCTTACTTCTGGTTTAACAAGTGCAAAGGCATTGAAGCCTGGGTTGTAGGTTTCCTCTTTAAATTTTCAATCAATAGATTACTGGATTTTCTTCCCAACGAAATTCTTCCTACACCAATTGGAATTAGAGCATAAGTTTCTTGGGCAGCAAGGTGGGAAAACTTTAGTCAAGTTCAGGGTTTGCTGAATTTAGGCCATGCTTTACTTATTTCAACCAAGAATTTGCTGATTTCAACCAAGGTTTACTAATTACGCCCTAGAACTTACTGATTTCAGCTAGGGTGTACTTCTTTTTCTGAATAGGGTTTATGATTTTGGTGAACCTATGGCAGCGAGGAGTCGCAGAAGGGGGGGCTCTCATAGACCTACCCCATCATGCTAGAGATGACAAGATTGGGAATCTCAGGAGGCAGATTCAGAACCCTGCAAAACAATTTGTTGGCATCAATCATGCGCAAGATGGTGATCTTTTAGCCAAAGAAGGAATCAAATAAACCCTTTCACCGCTCTGCTCCACAGAGAAGTCGAGTGAAGAGGAAAGTGATAGAAGACCTAGACGTATGGACCATAATTCTAGGGTTTTCAATTTGAATGTGGATAATCCTCGTTTTGACGAGTATAATTTGTCTCAAAACCGGGGGAGACCTAATCTCATTGTTTATAAATACCATTGGGTTCATGATATTGAGGAGACTAACCATGAAAAATCTTTATTTTCATCAAGTTATTTCCAAAATCAGCAGGTTGTAGATTGGGATTTGCCACCAATCTTCGATACATGTCCGGATGAACAACAAGACCTCTTAAGATAAAGATCTCAAGGACATCGACGAGGTGGAACATTAAAGAGATTTAGGGCATTGGAATTAGAGTAGTGCAACAAAAGCATAGTCGACTCATAAACCGCAAATTGTGGTCTTGGATTCAAAGAGTAATAAAATAGATATCGAGAGAGCCTATAAAGGCTAGAAATTTTGAGTTTGAAATTTCCTACACGATTTTCAATGTGAGTTCAGGGATAGCCAAATTCAATAAATTTGTATAGATGCCTCGATATACATATGAGGATCCATTTCTTGAAGTTTTCTTCTTACCACAAATAATCTTTGAGCCAACAAAGAAGAAGGTTGAAAAAGGTGGTTTTGACACTGAATTCATTTTAGCACACTTGAAAAATCGATGACAAGTTCGAGTTTTCTCCAACCAATGGAGAATAATGCAGGACAATATTTTTATTTTAAAATTTTGTTTAATTTCAAAGGGTACATATTTTAATTTTAATTTTAAGGTTCTTTTTAGGGTTTTAAAGTTTTTAAGCGATTCTAGGTTTTTTTTGCATTTTTAGGATGTAGGAGTTATCTAAGAAAGTAGTTACAATGATTATGGAATACTTTGTTTTATCAACGGTAAAAATCTTATTACAAATTTATTTTTAATTTGGGCTTCTATTTCAATGAGAATCAAGATTTCTCGGGATCTAAGTGAAAACTTTATTATAAATAGTTTCTATTAGGATTTTGCATAGAGAGTAGAGTTTTTGATATCTTATTTCTAGTTTAACCAGTGCAAGTTACTGAAGCCTGGCTTGTAGGCTGCCTCTTCAATTTTTTAATTAATAGATTATTGGATTTTCTTCCCCATAAAATTCTTTCTACATCATGTTACGTGCTTTTAGTAAACAAACTAACACAAGGTGGAAAACATCCATGAAGTTGCATTAACACATTGTAACTTTTGCAAATAGAAAAAACAAAAGCGGTAGTCAACAACATCAACCAAACATCGTTGATATTGTTGAGAGTGTCATCCTTTAAAGTGTTGAGAAAAAATAGAGGAAACAAAGAAAGGCAAAGAAAGTAACGAAAAGGGGAACATTTATGGAGGAGAGGAAGGAGAAAGGGAATTGGGTCTTCACAACATCGACGAAGTGCTAAGGTCTAAGGATTACAATTAGACTAAAAGAACCTAATGGAAAGGATGGAAAGGGAATGTTCTTGAATCCCAATACCTCATAGCTCAATATAATTTTAAGGGAGAGAAGGGAGGATGGAGGAAGGAATTAACATCAAAGATGGGGTACAGGTTTGCTTGTACAAGACCTGGAGGTTGCCTCAAGCAGGCAACCTCCATGTTTTAGGCAGTTGAGCAGTACAATCCAAGGTTTAACGCCCTGAGCTTCAATGAGCTTAAGAGAGGCCAATTATGGAGGCACAGCCCGCGCAGACAAAGTATCAGTTTGCCACTATGATGTATGCCTAGATAGACAAGACAAATAGGAATATGATTTAACATTTTGGCAAACGACCTATGAAGGGCATTGCCTTCTAGATAAGCTGACGACACTAACAAAACCAAAGGTGCACATTATGTTTTCTATGTGATAGATAAGGATGTTGAGGTAGTCAAGGTGATGATTTCTATTAACGCCCTGAGCTTCAATGAGCTTAAGAGAGGCCAATTATGGAGGCACAGCCCGCAGACAAAGTATCAGTTTGCCACTATGATGTATGCATAGATAGACAAGACAAACAGGAATATGATTTAACATTTTGGCAATCTTCCTATGAACGGCCTTGCCTTCTAGATAAGCTGACGGTACTAACAAAACCAAAGGTGCACATTATGTTTTCTATTTGATAGATAAGGATGTTGAGGTAGTCAAGGTGAAGCATGTCAGAAAGGTCATTATGAATGGTCATAATTGATATGACGAGCTCAAGGTTGTTGCTTGCCAAATGATTATTTAGATTTTACACCATGAACAGCATGCCCGTTGTGGTTAAGGAGATTGAGATAATAAGAGTGATAGGAGGGATCTCGTCAAAGCTAAGGCCCTAACTACTTCTATTATAGTTACAATTGGTTCCCATCATGACTCATAAGTTCACCATTAAGGAAGGAACTGGAGTGACCAAATACACCACTTCTTTTCTAGCCTCAACAAAAAATGATAGCAAAGAAAAAAAACAAGTCTTAGTTGCATCAAAGAATTGGCTGCAAGTATTCCAAGCAGACTAAAGGGAAAAGAACATGCAAATTTCTATGCAGACCATGTTTTGGTCATTTGGGATGATTAGGCCACTACGCAAATGATGGACGGCAATGAGATGGACTGATGGAATACAACTATGATGCCAATTCTATCAACCCATACACATAGTAGGACTGCCTAGCCTAAAAAAGCCTGCATGGACCTTTCTGAAAATAAGGGTTACATGGAACTTTATTTTTAGTCATATGATGTAATCATTCCTCAATGTATGTCAACCATATCCTAAAGATATTTTGAGAGCCAAATCCTGCTAGAAAATCAGCACGTCTAAAAAATTCACCGGGCCACTAATTACAGTAGTATTTCCCTTCGAACATATAAAATATCTTGGTGCAAGAGTTTCAAAATTCTAAGAGAGAACCTTGTAGTAAATTGGTGTCTCGCTTCTCACAATCACATCAAATTTCGAGTCTCTTCTTTTTTCTAGGACATAGGAGAGCATAGGATGAATTGAATGATACATGGAGGGCAACAATTACAAACTATGGTTTACTTGATTCTGGCATGTAGTAGTTGAATGAAAACAACTTATGCGCATGTGTGCATTAAAAATCATTCTTACTCCAAAAAAGAAAAGAAAAATAAATGTTCTTACTCCAACTTCCACACCATTGCCCTATCCAATCACCTTCCTCATGTCACAATCTAGACACGATACTAAGATTCGTATGCCTTGATCAACATGTCAACTTGTACACTTATGCAACTAGCATTCTAACACTTGTATGACATATTGATAGATTGACACCAATACCATAACACATCTGAACTAGCCATGATATTGCTAGGATACAAGATTTCAACATAAAAAGCAAGAAATCAGAACAATGTTCAAAGAATCAAACACTAACCTATGGATGGTGTAGAAAGCTCCTCATTGACTGGCACCCCCGTCTTATGAGTATTATCTAAAGCCATACCAACAGCATCCAAATCAGCCAATTCTTCATCATTACCCACTTTCTCCATAATTTGGCCTTCTTCACCCTCTATTAACAAATCTCCCGACTCCATACATGCAGCTTCAGCTGCTAGTTCAAGAAAACTGGGCCCCATCTCGTTCCTAGCTACGGCCAATAACCTATTCAATGAATTTAAAGCATCCCGATATTTATATGCACTTAAAAGAGAGGCTATAGAATGAGGTTGATCGACTGCTGCTTCAAATTCAACCCTCAACTCCTTCAATCGAGCTGATACAAAACCCCCATTATCTTCATTCGTTATATGAGCAATCCTCTCCTCCCAAATTCTTCTTAGGGTTTCCAAGTACTCCTTACTATTGACACTTTCTTCTCTCAAGAACCTCACAGAGCACTCTGCTGCAACTGCAACATAGGCATCACTCAAAGAAACCCTAAAATTTTCAGAAACTTGATTTCCCCTTTCGAGCTCTGACATCATCTCGAGAGAGTCAAGAATTCTCTCTGTGATTAAACCCTTGGACATATCAGAGGATATTCTTTGAAGGAGGATCAATTTCTTCAAGAACAAGTTTCTATCAGAGAGGGGGAGTACACAAATGAGGCTATTGATCACCCAATCCTCAACTCGTTGATCAAGAAGGAACTCCATGATCCATCCTGATAATAGAGTATCTATTGTCATCGATTCTTTGAAATCAGAGAGAAAAAATTTACCTGAAAAGAGCTAATCTAAAAGGCTAGAAATATGCACTAGGGTTAGGGTTTTACCATTAAAGCAAAACCCAAATTTTCCGAGTGGAGGCCATCAGGGTGAGAAACCTCGTATGAACCCCAGATGCAAAAAGAAAGAAAAAACCTAATTTGGAAAGGGTCGGACAGATGTTACAGTTTGGTAACAAAGAAACCTAAAATCCAAGATACACAAAAGAACCCTAATTTTACAGGGAGGAAGCATGATTTACGACAAATGAAACGACTAAGAACCCTAATTTCTAATGGAAAAAAGTAAGATTTACTATGCTTAGGATGTCTTCACTGCGAAAGCAAGAAATAGGGTTCCATCGATAAAGGAATTGCAGAGATTCAAAAAAATTGCCGGGTAACGGCTAGCAGTCGCCACCACCCCTATTTCAAAAACCAATTGGGAAACACTTTTTCCACGTGGGAAATCCCGGAAAATGTTTTCTCACTCAAGAGAGCGGTTTATACAAGCCGTCCATCTGGAGCAGTTAATTGGTGCACCTCCAAACTTTGCCTCGAGATGAGGTTTTGGCATGGAAATAATTTATTTTTATTCTATAGTAAAAAGGTGTGGTTTGTATAGAGCCTAGGCTCTAAAGAATCAAATTAGAGCCTACCTTCAAATAGTATCGTGAAATGCAGTTTTTAAT